GCAGTTTTCATTGGAGATGAATCATTTGCAAGAGGTTGTTTTTGTGATGGACAGTGAACCGGCGACAGTTGGGTTGCTTGACATGGCAATCACGATTCGACAACAGATGGGATACAAGGCAGTCAAGAAGTTTGGTAAACCATACCACAAAGGGAGAACAGCGCGTGTTGAGAGATACATCCAAAGTGTGAAACGACAAGCAACTACATTGATGTTGAGCATTGAGAAGCATGTTGGCTTGTTGAGCGAAACCCATTGCCTTCGAGCTTGGTCGTTGGTGCGTGCAGTGTTTTTGTTGAACAGATTTCATGAACACACAGCAATCAAGTCGACGCCATACGAGTTGTTGCATGGCAGGAAATATGTTGGGAAGCTCTTGCCATATGGGGAGTTCGTTTTTGGACTTCGCAAGCCCGCAAAGGTGCAGGGCACAGCTGTGTGGGTTGGAGGTGTCTGGGTTGGCAAGGATGGTACAGATATGAATGTACTACTGACTGCGGGTGGTACAATTCATACAAGGTCGATTAGGAGATGCGCCAATCCATGGCGAGCAGATGTGGTAGCATCATTGTTGGATTCACCGTGGAACAAGAGCAAAGGTGGAAGACCGATTGGTTTGCTGGAAGCCCCAATGCCTGTCATCGAGGAGTCGAAGGAAGGAAAAGTTGAAGGTGAGATCCCCTTGTTGGCCACTGGAGAGATTGATCAGGAAGCGGCAGAAGTTATGGATCTTTTGCATGATGCTGGACAGTTGGAGTACGAGCCCACCGAGCCACCACAACAAGACGAACTACAGGAGAGGCATGAAGAGGTCATTGAGTTGGAATGGCCTGATCCTAAGAGGGCACGACAAGAGGTTTTGTTCCAAGAAGAGTTGCAACCATTGGGTACAGAAGCAAGACGTCAATTGCTAGGACTTCCTTCAAGAGCATTGGAACGAGAAGATGCAGAGTTGAGATCAACAGCTGACAAACGAGAAACAGAACGTGAAGACGATCAGGAGGAGAGCAGGAAAGTTCCCAAGAGAGAGACAAGTCCTATGTCGGGTGGTCTCTATTCCCCATTCTATGCAGGACAGGTCGAGTTGAGGATGCCTGATGACGATGAACATTGGGAAGAAAACGTTGATTGGGACAACATTGATTGGGGCATTGTTGATGACATGTGTCATGGTGAGCAACCTCCTGAGTTGTCGGCAGAAGATCTTGCAGATTTGGACAAACAAGCAATGAAGGAGGAGGTGAGCAAGTTGACAAGCATGGATGTGGTGAAGGTCGTGAAGGAGAGCAGTCGAGATTCAGACGGAAAGTTTGTTGACCTGAAGGAGGTGTTCGATTGGAGGTACAGGAATGATCGTTGGAAGCGAAGATGCAGGATTGTGGCCCGGGATTTTAAGACAGGGCCAAGTACCTCAGAAACCTTCTCACCAACATCGGCAGGAGGAGCAATTCGGTTCTTTTTGCTATTCCACCTAGTGTTCAGGTGGAAGGTGTTGTCGCTAGATGTGAGTGATGCATATCTCATGGTGCCTCAGCAGGAAGCTTGCTATGTACAGATTCGTGGTTGGATTAAGGAGCTTTTGGGGTTGGCAACAGATGATTTGTGGGATTTGAGAAGAGTGTTGCCTGGTCAGAGAAACGGAGCTCAACGTTGGTTCAATCATTTTACAGAGTTTCTCAAGAGTTTAGGTTTCTTGCAGTGCACCGCAATGCCATCGGTAATGCGCCACAAATCCCGCAAGGTGGTCATCAATATTCATATTGACGACGAACTGGTGGCAGCTGAGAGTATGGAAGAAGCTCATTGGTTCATTGGTGAGCTGAAGAAAAAGTTCAAGGTGCAAGTTGAAGGACCATTTCCTACAGGGTCCACAGGAGCTGGCGAAGAACTGAGTTACTTGAAGAAGACGTATGTGTTCACTGGCGAGGGTATTTTGGTAAAGCCCAACAAGAAGTACATTGAGAGTTTGTTGAAACTATACGATGTTGACAACCGCAAGTACAAGCAGGTGCCAGAACATAGCTTGCTAGGACAGGTGGATTTTTCTGAAGAGCTTGACCAACAGAAGCAATCGTTGTTTCGGAGTGGATTGGGTGTTGCTATGTACTTAGCGCAAGACAGAATTGACATCCAATATTGCGTGAAGACATTGGCAAGTTCGATGAAGTGTCCAACTCAGCAGGCAGAGAAAGCATTGATACAGTTGATTTTGTATCTAGCTGGTACAAGAGATTGGGTGTTCAAGTTGCCATATGTTGAAGCAGGAACTAGCTTGGCAAGGATTTTGAACACAGGTCGAACAGACGAAGGTTCAAGCAGAGAGCATTTTTTGGAGATCTTTTGCGATTCAGATTGGGCAGGAGGCGTTGGACGAAAGAGCACAACCGCATGCGTGATTTTTCTTGATTCGGTGTTGGTTACATCATTTTCGAGGACCCAGAAGTCGATCGCCCTTAGCTCATGTGAGAGTGAGGTTCTTGCATTGACAGCAGGTTGTAGTGAAGGAATATTGTTGAGAACAATTTGGGAGTTTCTTTCACAGACAGGCTGCAAGATCGTGGCCAGGAGCGACAGTTCAAGTGGACGACAATGGTTGGCCAGATCAGGAGTCGGACGACTCAAACATTTCGATATTAGGTTGTGTTGGTTGCAGAGTGCAATTCACAAGAAGGTATTGGAGGTAGCACCAATTGGTACAAAGCTGAACGTGAGTGATCTAAACACCAAGAAGCTATCAGCAACTAGGAAACGGTGGGTGAGACAGAGTTTGTTGAACACATGACAGAAGAAGCAATGAAAGCACAGATTCAAAGGATCAGCAGATTGACCCGGAGCAAAACAAACAGAAGCATTTTGCAGGTGGCCACGGCATTGAGTGTTTTTGGCATGAAAGGTTGCATGGAAAATGACGAACCACAACAACCGGTTGAGAGCAGTGAGAACACTTGGCAACAGGTTGCGTTGACCAGGGTGGTATTGGCAATCATTGCATTGTGCAATTTTGTTTTCTCGCATTGGGATGTGTTGCAGACATTGTTGCAGATGATGCGAGACAGGCGGGGCAGAAAGCCAAAAAGAGATGGTGAACAACAAGATGAAGTACAAGTATCAAACACTGAAGAACAACAAGAAGAAGAATCTTCAGATGTGGTAGTCGAGGAGTTGGGAGCTGAAGCACAAGCAAGTGCAAGTTCTGAACCGAGACCTCCGAGCACATCCCCACCAAGGGGACCTCCACCGCGAGCACCGAAGTTCTCGCCCATCCCGATAGACCCACCGCCGCGGTGGGATCCTTGGTCTCCGGAGTGGTTCCTATATTTTATGTTGGGGAGAGTCAACAGAAGATTGCAACGTCGAGGACATTCGATGGACCACAATACATTGCTCAGGTATGGTCACCGGCGTGACATTTTGGAGATGCAGTTGGGTATTCTTGAGCAGAACCACAGTGAAGGGGTGAGACGAAGGGCACATATGATGTGTCGTGGCATGACCGATTTGTCACCGGATTCAGGGTCTTCTGCAGGACCTGAAGTGGAGGAAGATCCAGAGCCAGAGCACGAAGACATTGCAACGCATCGATATGTTGGATCAGAACCGGAGGAGGAAAGCGTTGGAATGCAGATACGACGACAACAGTTCAGTACAGCAACGTCGAGCAGCCATACAGGACAGACAAGCAGAGATGAACAACTTCGGTCAGAGCTTGATTCAGGTGATGGATATTTTTCCTCATCAAATTTGCCAGGGCGGAGTTTGGCTATGCCCTCGGCTGGACAGGAACAACAGAATGATGAGGACGATGATGAGGTTGAAGACAGCGAGACAGAGTCGCATAGAAGGATGAGGTACATCTATGCTGGAATTGAAGAAGTAAGCGATCCAGAGTATTGGCAGGAGCTACATCATTTTAGCAGTGATGATGATGATGCAAGCAATTCAAACGGAGATGGTGACAATTGATTTACAGATTCCAGATTTGCAGAATTTCAAATTTACAATACATTTTCTTTTGGGTGTTGAGTTGAGTGGCCTGTGAAACCGTCTGAACCACAGGACCATTCCTTGTTGAATACCGTGAAACCATCTGAACCACGGTATAGTGGCACTACAAACGAATTCATTTACAATTGCATTGAAGACAGTTTTGAGAGTACGTGAAACCAGCTGAACCACGCACAAAGCAAACAGAATTTACAATGGTCATTTGTGGAAATCGTGTACAAAGTTGCACCGGAACGGTGGCTACGGTTGGTAGCTGTGGAAATGTTTGTGGGAGACCTTTTCAGTTCCGCCTACCAGAGAGCGGATCTCACAAATCGAGAAGTGTACAAAAGAAAGTGTGGAGTCTAGATTTAGACATCTAACTCCAAGGCGGGGTGTTAACTTATTTCACCCTTGAGTACACGTATGAATGTGACATGTATAGACTTGATTTGAGTCACGTGTGCAGTATCTGTTCTTATCACTGTGTAGCGTTCGTGATCGAAGTGAAAAGCGTTGCTGCCTAACAAGAAGCAACACGACTTGGAATACGACCACCAAGAGCACCTGGACTACTTGCAGAACTAGGTGAACAATTTGTGGATCTACAAGGCATTTGGGCCAATGTGAGCCCGATGAGGTACGAAGGAGGCTGAGCGCAGATCTTTCCACTACCATTCAGAGGAAACTGTGGAGAGAGAACCTATGAGGCCACGATCCAAGAACAGCGACAGCAAGAAGAAGCAGTTCCTGAAGAACCAGAAGAGCTGAGTCCAGAGGTTACCTTGATGCAGCCAGGTACAGGCACAAGATTCGATGTTTTCACACAGACTGGTCAAAGTCAGGGAGAAGCACATGGTGACACAGAAGAAGGAGATGGAGGACCTCGACGCCGAGTACACCATGAAGCAACACATGGAGCAGCAAACCCTGATGAGGAAGATACCGAGCACATCGAGAAGGACAACGAGATCTACAACATGTTTTCAGGACGGTGACTTCATTCTTTGGACAAGATGAAGAAGAAGAACAACCGCGTCGTGGAGAAGTCCGACCACATCACGGAGGAGATCAATCACATCCTGGAGGAGAAGTTTGACGAGTTCAACGACGACTACCAGATCCACCTGATCTTGGACAAGGACGTCGTGGACATGGAGGAGAAGATCATGACAGTGGACCAGAAGAGTTGACATGGTCAAGCAGTGAACAAGCAGACCATGACTGGGAGCAAGAAGGAGATCGCATTGCAGAAAGAGAGCAAGCAAGAAGAAACCACATGGTCAACATTGAGAACACGCATTGGCAGATGCTGGAGCATTCTTCACAGAGGCTTGGACATATCCTAGCAGATGGGTCAGAGGAGACGAACAATGAAGAACTGGAAAGAATTGTTCCTTCAAGACCAGAAGTTTTCAGCCGGTACAGAGAGCAACTACTGCTGATAGGAGAAGGAGTGGAAACACACTTGACAATAGCAGCACGAGAACCTTCCCACTTCATCAACACGATCCTGGATGAAGCAATGAATCAACGAGGCAGAGTACTCAATGGTGACATGATGGGACGACTCTTTACTTTGAGAAATGAGATGCTGGCAGCAATCGAACATTGCCAGACGCCAGAAGGCTACAGGCAAAGCATTCTGTTCGCCAAGAGATTGCAGAGACTTGAACGAGAAGCAATCCAATGTGGAGCTGATGCAGCGGCAGCAGAACATCCAGATGAAGAAGAAGCTGAAGCAGCAAGACAAGAGTTCATCAGACAACACACTTCAGGAGAAAGAACTGAGCTTGGCAACCAAGATGATAACAATGCACTACTTCGATATCTACCACCAGAAGCAGATGCAATCGACAACGACGTGACCATGGAGTATGTGGACGTGGATGACATCAACGTCATCGAGATTGGCAATTCAAGAGGCAGTGATTCAAGACAAGCTGACAGAGAACCACAGGCAGTGATCACTTTGAGCGATGGAGAAGAAGAGGAACACGAAGATGCAAGAAGTGAAGCCAATGATGAGAACCAACAACCAGAAGAAGGAGAACTGAGAGCCATGGAAAGGCATTTTAACTTGTAGGCCTGTTTGAGATGCTAACTCGCAGGAAGACCTACAGTAAAGACTGACTTGTTCAGCGAGCTTTGAGCGCCTCGCTGAAAGGCAGGGTGTCAGGTTTCATCTAGACACTCATGACCTGTCCACTTGCACATGTGAGCACACATGACGAGCCCAATACCGCAGCGGCTTTTACAAGCCAAGTGGAGGTGAAAAAGACCGCCACTGTGTTTGACAAATTTTCAACTTGCAATTTACAATTTTAAAGAGGGTAGGTTGTTGAAACCAGCTGAATCAACAACTTACTCTACATACACGATTGTGCTTCCTGAAACCATTTGAACCAGGAGCACAAAGCACAACGACAGTTGAACATTGGACTTTTGATTTCAATGTGGTGGCAACGATGTGAGAATTTGTAAAGAATTTTATGGGAATGGCATTGGAATGATGCCGGAACAAACTATACAGAGGGTATAGTACAGTGTATAGAAAGGAAGGCTGGGTGAACTTAACTCATGGCCACTTAGATGAAGTGGTGCCCATGCCGATTGAAACGAAGTCAAAGCACGACTTCAAACGTGGCGTTTCGAGGCGGCGTGTCAAGATTTGTCATGTGTATAGGTGCACTGTTTGCTAGTTGAAACTACTCCGCATTACCGTAGCGCGTGTGGTCCAAAAGATCCGCTCACCTTGACAAAAGGGCATCTGCCATCTCTGGAATCTTCTTGAGTCCAAGAAGCTTTCACTCTTTGTTTTTTTTTGGAAGGCTTTTGCTCTGTACATTGATCTGCACTTTCAAATCTTCTGTTCTTCTTATCCTCCAGTGACGTTTGGCTTCGAGCTTGCAACGTGCCGCGATGTTCAGCATCATAAGCATCACAAACTCGGCAAACTCGACAACTGTTGTGATGTTAATGAAGCCCATCGTCTCAGAATCAAAAAACGAAAAAGGTTAAATGAAAGACACGCACGTGCACAAATGTGAAACTGAATTGAACCGCCACTCAGTTGTTGTTGCACTCGAAGTTTCACTTCAGCAAGAATGATTTCGATGTGGAGTGGAAAGCTCCCGGAAATCATCTCAGTGTCGTGTTGTTTGCAAAGCGAAAAACGCTCACTCGTCTTTCTTGAGTCAGCATGTAGTGTTCCGCTGAGAAGACTGCAATCCAACACGGCAGCGACCGGATAGGGTCACCCAACGCAATTGCTTGCAAAGACGGGTCTGGCTGTTCCATTCCAAGGTCATCAACAGTGAACCCATGCAGCAGACTTGGGACAAAAGGAACAATTGAGCGGCACGGTGTCAAAGGGCAGTAGCAGTGACAATGAGGGCGGTGGCTTGGCGTCAACCTCTTGCTCACAGTTTCTGTCAATTCCAGGTGTGCCACGAACTGTCTTCAGCATGCTGGCTGCAGCCTGAAGAATCGCTTGGGATGGCCTCCAGTTCCTTGAGGTCCGCGATCCGCCTGTAGAAAGGCAATGCAAGATGCTGCCAAGCGAGTATGAGCCACTGCCTTTTAGTGAAGGTGGCTGTAGGTGCGAGGGTCAGCATGAAAGCTGCTGCGAATTTGGAACAGACAACTCTTAGCACATTGGCAGTTGCTTAAGGAGATCCCTCACGGGAGCCACCCAATGGTTGAACCCCACCAGACAGGCTAGAGACCCACATTGGGGAAGCGCTGCGTGGGAAGCGGAGAGACGAAAGGAACCATCATCATCTTTGCATTTTGTCAAAGCCAGTGCTCATGTGCTCGGAAGTGAAATGAGCCTTTGTGAAGATGACGCCTGAGTCGAGTAGCGAAGGCCACCACACAGGAAACGAAACATAAATTTGCAGACAGCAGGGCGACAGTGGTGAAGGCCACCACACAGGGCCTGTTCTTGGGCATGTTGTAGTAAAATTTGACAGACCACCACTTGTTCCGGCTCGCAAGCAAAGAAACCAATGTTGGAAGAGAATGGCCCAGATTGACCGCAGTGAAACCACAAGTGCAAGTTTTCCGTCAAGAAACTCGAATCTAGATTTCAGTTTCGACCTGCATAACGTTTCCAAAACAATTGCCAACAAGGGAAAAACTGTGGTCGACACGGGAAACAACAACAACAAGAAGTGTCTTTAGACCGTGACACATTCTTTTTGTTGTGATTGATGTTGGAATATCTATTTTCTTGAGATTTTGGATCAAGGGCTTGGTTGCAGAGTGCCTATCCTGCTCTATGAAGGTTGGAATGAATCGCGTTCCGTTTCACATTCCTCTTGCAACTTCCACTCGGTCGCGTCAGCACAATTGGCGCGGGCACTTTCTGCACAAACTGCAGGATACCCCAACAGACACATCGTGTAATTTTTTTGTGTCAAGAGTGGTGCGCAATGTTTTCAAGCAAGTGAATCTGCTGTCACGTTGCAGGATGCCCTCAAGCCCGCCCATGCTTGCGCAAGGCACGTGAAACTGGTAATTTTCAAGGTCAGCAGTTTGCGCATGAGCTGCGCGAGGCAGATTTCGCAGTCAGCCAGGGGCTACCATCACCGTTTTCGGCATGTTTCCACACGCCTAATTCTCAATGACTGGCCATGGATGTGTGGCAGATGTTGAACTTGAAAAGCAATGTGTGAAAGCTGAGGCCGCAGCTGCAGTGCAGGCAGGATACCAAACTTGATCTCAAACGTGTGACGCTGATAGTTGGCCATGTCATGCCATAGTGCGTGTTCTGAGGCGTTTGCAGGCCAGCCAAAGTGAAGGGGAAGCTGAGGCAAGATTTCAGAGTTATTGCAGACATGGTTCTGGTTTGTTCCTTGGCACGTTCCTACTAGTAACAAGAAGCTACTAGGTGGAGGCCATCACTAGTAGGTGGGAGGCCATCGCTACTGGTAGCAAGAAGCTACCAGTAGCAAGGCTGTGAAGTGACAAGAAGTGAACTACTGTAATCTGATCGCGTGAGGCTAAGAAATCAGAGGAAATCAATTCCTCAGAGGGTGCCGCCAGCGCAGAAAGCCAGGACACAGAGAAGACAGAGAAGACGGAAGAGGTGCAGCGTAGTGTTGTTTTGGAGCTGAATGACATCTCAGTGCAACGATCCAATGAACAAATCAGGCACCTTCCGAAGTTGAGGAAGCATGCTTCCCAGTAGCAGTATTTGCTTGTTATTTTTTGAATTACCTCAGAAAGAACGAACAGGCACATTTCGCGCACTTGGCATTTCTGCTGTTCAGAAGTCTCCCCCAGTCTCGCTAGGTATCAAGTATCGCAGGTTACTTCTTGAACATTCTGAGAAGCCGCAGTTGGTACCGCAAGGCTCCAGACAAGTTGCTCCAGAAAGAACTTGCAGACCTTCAGGCTTGGCAGAAAAAGGTATCTCTTCAATCTTGCCAGTGGATAGTTGGATGAACGTAGGTTCTTCGTTCGGAGCTCGTCCGGCAAAACAAGCATGAGCAAAGAGCGAAGTCGGACTGCTCACATGTTTGCCGTTCGATTTGTAGAGTTTGGGGCAAAGCATGCAAGTGGTTGAAGTTTTGGTTGAAAGGTTGCTTTTGTCATTAGCGGACTTTGAGAATAACAAGACACGTTTCCTCACAGAACGAGAGGCCGGTGCAATACAAGAGGATACTGAGCTGCCATCGTAGCACGATTTGATGATATCAGGATAGAAGAAGGAGCTCTATGGTAAGCTTTGCGACCAAGATGGTGCAGGCGATTTGTTTGAGTGTTCTCTGATCAGTAGGATGTTCTGTCGCTAAATCTATTGTACTTTGCCCATGTTTGCAAAGGTTTATGGCCAGCTGAATGCTTTCCCTATTGAGAAGCATGATTCAGGCGGCTCTAGCGGCATACGTTTTGTTGAAATTCACCTCATCCCCATGGACCCCGTAGCGTGAGTTCTCAAGGTAGAGCTAAAAGAGACGCTTAGCGGTAGTACAGGGTTAGCTAGGTAGTTAGTGCTATTAGAGCTGATCCTGTAAAATACAGGTTATCAGCCGTAGGCTAGCTAGAGTAGAGCTATGGACCCGATGGACGATGACGTCGCACCGAACTCCTACGGAAGTGGCTTTGACATTGTTCCGAGTTTACCCAATCGTTTGGATGCAGCCCAACGACACGAGCAGGCAGTCGCTCAGGTGGCAGCAATGGATCCAAGGGTAGCTTCGGAGGTGTACCAACAGATGCTAAACGCGACACAAGCTACCCTAGCAGGTATGCCGTCAGCCACCGTAACTGGTGCGCCAACAGTAAACAATTTGTTGGCAATGACGCGGTTCAACGTCGTCAACCTGAATGCACCAACAGGTGATGAAGAACTACGACGGGAACTACAGCAACACGAGTTTTTGCTCAGTGAGCAAGCCAGGAGGGAAGCAGAACTCGAAGCATTGCGTTTTAGGCAAATATATGAAAGAGAAGCTTCCGAATCCATAGCGGCAACTAAAGTTGCAGCAGAGCAGGCAGTGTTGAATGTTCAACAGAGGGCCCAACAGCGGGAACAAAATGTTCAGCAATTGGTCCAACAGCATGGCAACGTTGCGATCAAACGGTTGCAAGGTACGTTGGAAGAGCAAAGAGAGCATTTTCAACAACGGCTAGCTCAGGCAACAATGGCTCACGAAAAGGTTGTACAAGAGAAGAACGCCTTAACAGAGGAAGGTAATGCATTTGTTGACAAATTGAGAACTGAACACCGTCAGTATACTGAGCAGCAAGAATCTAGACTCAAGGCAGCAATTGAGGCAACAGACAAAGCCCGATCTTCGTCAGCCGAAGAAGCCCGCGTTGCCATAGATCTGGATTTCAATCGCGAGGAACTGACCAGTCCGTTGGCGATTGCGCAAGCCAAGATCAAGACGCTTATTGGTGAAATGGAATCTACTAAGACACAGAACGCCGTTGACAGGGAAAATCAAGAGCAAACCATCGTTGAGCTACGCAAGGACAATGCGATGTTGAAGGGTGAAATGGACGAGCTCAGGCGTGTTGTGCAGGCCTTGACGGACAGGGACGAGGAGCGCAAGGAAACCGAGCGCAAGGCGCAAGCCGCAAGCCCCGTTAAACCAGGGCCGCAACATCAAGAGCCACCTCCACCTCCTGCTCAACCAAATGTTCTTCCCGTTGGTCAACCTCGTTCATATGAACCTCTTCGTACGGAAGGCTCAGTTCCAGCAACCTTAGAGGGTTCGCCCCCAGATGCAGAAGGAATTCCTTTAAAGACAGCAATGTACGCAAATGCAACAAGTCGCAATACAGGATTTCCTTCAATGTTTTCTGGAACAGGGGGCGCCCGCAACGGAACAAGCTACAGCCTCCACGGATAAGCAACAGTTCAAGCAACCAGATCCCTGGACAGAGTACACGAAGAAGTCGGCGCAGTACTTTAACCAGGACGCAACGCAGAACAAAGATGACCGCAAAGGTGAAGGGCCGGCATCTCAGGTCAGAACTCCACAAGACCAAGATCTGGGGGAAATCATCAAGAGGGCCTTGCTAGAGGGGTTTAAGGGTGCTAAAAGCAAAGACCCAGACAAACCCAAGGCGAAAGAGGCAGATAAGATAGATCTCCCTGAGTTCCCAAGTCCTGACAGGTACCGCACTTGGAGGGCCGCAGTTCGCGAAGCGATCCGGTACGAAACTCCTTGCTGCTTTGACTAAGGTTGCCAAAGGTGAACTGTCTCAGCAAATCCTTAATTATAAGGAATCTGAGGCACAGCAGGGTAGGATTGTTCGTGGTCGTCAGGTTTTGCTCATGTTTGAAGTTCATTTTAAAACTAGCGAAGAAGCGGGTGCGCTGTATGGCGCGGAAGACCTCCTGAAGATCTCGCCTGACAGCGATGACTTAAAGTCCTTTCTTAGGAAATGGGAAAGCGTGTTGACCGGAATGAGTCATGTGCCTGACCCGGCAACACTCAAGGATCTATTCTATAGAGAGGTCAGGAAGCCCCGTAAACTCAGATTTGATCTTGATGTTTACGAACGCGCTGCGGAAGGAAGTAATGACAGAAGCTACGAATTCCTCATTAATTCTGTTCGACGGTATCTTGACCGAGAAAGGCTAAGGACCAATCGAGAGAAGATCTCTCAATCGCATTCAGCCAAGTATGCAAATCCAGCACCACACGACAAACGCGCGGGAAGCCCAAGTTATGGCAAACGAAGCGCGAAGGGTGACGGTGGCAATCAATGCTATGAGTTCGCCAAAACTGGCAAGTTCAAGTACGGAAGCAAATGCAAGTACTCACACGACTCTAGCGCCCGTCCCCGCTCCCTTAGCCGGGAGTCGTCTCGTTCGCGTAGCGCAAGTTCAAGTGGTCGCTCGTCTTTTAGGTCAAGTCGATCCAGGAGCTCATCAAGACCGTCTTCCCGAAGCAGTTCTAGGAACTCATCAAGAAGCTCAAGTAGAGGCAGAAAATCTGAGAAGTCATGCAGGTTCTTTGCAAAGGGCAACTGCAAAAGGGGTGATAAATGCCCGTTTAAACACGGTGACACGGCCACGCCAGCCCCACGCAGAAGGAGTCCCTCTCCCGCGGCTAGAAAGTCCAAGGACAAGAAATCCAAGAAGGACAAAAAGGACAAAAAGAGCAAAAGGGAAAAGAAGGAAAAGAGTCCAAAGGCCAGTCCATGCATTCAAACAGAATTCGCAATGTCTTGCTTAGCAGCAACCGCTACTCAAACTCGAAAGAGTAAAGACTACTGGGAATTCTCCAAAGATGGCACCGAATTGATTAGGCACCATTTGAAGCCTAGGAACAGGTCGTTTCTCCCTATACGTAAATCCTGTCCTGTGGAGTCATCCAGGTTGGAAAGCCAGTTCACCATGGTAGTCACTGACTCGAAGGGGAAGAGTAGGACATTGAAGCCCAAACGCGAAACAAAAGTTTGATTGGACTGGGAAGTCGATTTTCCGTGTCGTGCAAGAGAAAAGAATTCGCTTCGAATTCAAACCAGAGGTGCACACCTTTCCTGTTTGGAAGGACATGTACCGGCATGTAGTGAATAAGAGCAGAAAGCGGAACCTGTTCCGGACCACTGAGGAATGTCCAAAGTCCCGCGAGTGTGACACTAAGGACGCCGTTTTGGCAGCAGGGTCACTTAGGCAGATGCTCGAATCTATGGATACCGAGGAGCCTGCGTGTGACTTCCTTTGCGATCATTCCCCAGAAGGCCCCGATGACTTGTGCTGCGCAAAGTGTAGGACGGTCACCGGTGAACAGGTACCTTCATGTGCTCGCGTAACAGCGATGCCAAGTACTGTTGGTATGGAGAAGTGGCTGGGAGATACTGGCACTGACCAGGACATCGTAGGTAAAGATTCGAAGATGTCAACAGGGCCACTAAGACCTTCAAGTCCAATGAACCCATTTCCCTCCCTACTGCCAATGGTCCCATTACCGCCGAAGATGTAGTTGAGGTGATTCTTCCGGGATTGTGTGAATCCTTTAGTCCCTACATTCTCCAAAGCACTCCCTCTGCACTCTCCATTGGCTTGAGGCGCCTAGAACAGGGATATGATTTTGTTTGGGGAAAGGATACCACTTGCATTTTTCTTCGACCTGATGGACAATGTGTTAAATTCAAGTTGCAAGGTAGGGTTCCTTATATTGATGAGACATGCACCCCGTTTTCTATTCCTGAGTCACTAAGGACACGCCTCACTAAGGTACTCGACTCCATCCACCAGTTCACCATCGACAAGGGCTTTGCCATGGCCAGCCATGAGTCCGAACCTGAAGAGGAGCAAGAGGATGACGAAGCTGGCGTAGCTGCCAATGCCGATGAGGAACAGGAGGAAGGAGAGGATAGTGACCCAGAAGTAGAGATTCCGTTTGATTTTGAGGATGTTCCCGTAGCAGGGGAGAAAACCGAAGAACACCGGCCAAAGAACCCATACTGTGATATTTGTAGTGAAGCTAAAACGCTTGCACCCTACGGTAGAAACGTAGGCGGATCACAACATGTGTTGGCATGTGGTTTTGGGGATTACATTGTATGCGATCATGTCATTCCCAAAGATATTGAAGAAGGGATTGAAGGTCAGACTTCCATGTTGGCGATCAAAGATGTGTACACGCAATACCGTTGTGTTTACCCTTCGGAAAACAAAACTGCTGATTCAATTGTGAAAGCGTTCAAGCATTTCCTGAAGACCTCGGATCTTGTTGGTATTGTGTACACTGACAACGCTCCCGAAATGTTGGATGCCATCAAAGAACTTGGATTCAAGCATCAGACTTCTGTTGAGTATCAACATTCTACCAGAGCGGTAGTTGAGCGAGAAGTCCGTACCATTTTGGAAGGGGCGCGCTCCAATCTTCTTCAGGCCAACATGCCTTTGTCTTTATGGCCTTATGCCTCCAAACACCATGCCATGGCCGTCAACATTGTCAAACAATTGAATGGTGGTGACCCACCTTGGACACTGCGTTTTGACAATGGATTCCTTGGTAGACAACTTCCTTTCGGATGCCTTCTTTTCTTTCGGGAGGGAAAGTATGAACCAAAGAGAGGTAAGTTTGCTCCCAATGCCAAGAGAGGTGTTTTCTTAGGATACAATATTCAGGCCGGACATGTTTGGAGGGGAGAATATTTGGTAGCAAATGTTGATAGTTTAGACTATTTCTTGAAGGAAGGGCACCTCAAGACTATTAGGACTAAGCGCGTTGCCCTTCCCACCGGCGATTTCATCTTTCCGCTTCACTGTAAAGAGA